AATGGGTGAATGTGACACGTAATGTAAAAGCACTTTGAGTGGTCAGAGGATGAGATAAAGAGAAATATAAACATAGTCCATTTACCATTTAGTCCATCAGGAGATCCCTTATTTTATTTCCAATTAAGACAGTATCAAGAAACAACCTCATGATGGAAGTTATCAAAGTCTTGTACATAAATCAAATTGCATTGTCATCGTGGCTCACCAAATTAGTCCTGCTTTGAAATATAAGGTTTCAGTACCTCAAAGATAAAGAGTACAATCAGGTCCAAACGTCACATGTTTACTTAAACTCCCTGTGTAAACAAATCCTCAAGCTAACACAGCATCTTTAGAGTGCCACTTACTGGTAGGAAATAAAAACCTTTGCATGACATGTTTTAATCAATAATTATTTTTTATGCTCTGCTCCTACTGTACTTAGTGTCTCACGCATGTGAAAATTCTCACACACTGCAAAAACTGAAACCTTGGCAAGCACATAGTCAAAATTATGGTCAGAGCATCTCTTATCTCTTAATATTTGGGGTGAAGTTTACATTAAAAAAAAAAAATTCCAAGACATTAAAAGCCATAAAATGGCCACTGACCTGCATGAAGACTTGGCAGTATTTGTTGGGTACAACATCATATGAATCGACTACTAAAAAGTTTCCACATATCTGTGATGAAAGGTGAGGATGTCGATGAGGAAATTCAAACAGCTCCCAGCAGCCGGTCTGTTTACTTTAGTTGTAGCTCTCAGAGCTTTCACTGAGGTAGCAAAGCTATAGCTTGATGCAGAAAGACAGCCCAGGGCCGGGGTAAGTGGGAGGACCCTAATGATGCGGACTTTATATACCTGTTTAAATGGCTGTATGGCTGTGATGTGAGATGCCTGGCTGCAGACAAGATGACTTCAGAGATCATCCTGACTGTCGGTGAGTGTCTCATTATTTTAGCACTAAATTTACAATTTGTTTTCAGAAGAACTTTTTAACAATCAACAGTAAATCAAATTCAAGTAAAAAAATTAGCCAGGTATAAACATCACAGTGTCATTTGCATAAAGATGTATCATAAGCCTTTTAATGTGAGCAGTAGTATAGTCTGTAAACCGAGGATGTAAAGCATTAAAAAATGTTCTAACTGTTGGACCGAGGCTTATATTTCTAGCTCTGTAATCCCGACAATTGAGAGCTGAAGAAACCTTTTGGACAGGAAGAGAAACATCTGCGATATTTGGACAGAGTCCCGCTTCCTTTTTGGATTAAGCTTTGAATGCATTTTTAAGGACAGATCTGGACACCAAAGTGGAACTAACAAATCTGTCTGAGGATTTTGACCAAGACTTCTTTTCTTCATGTCTTTCAGCTCTGGCAGCTGGACTTCTCCTGCTCTCTGTAACTGGTAAGAAGTCAAATCACAAATACACTTACGAGTTCAGAGGACAGCTGACTAATTTTCTTCTTTATTTCATTAATAATCTGATGATGTAATACAGTGTTGTAAAACAATCTTATGTAATTTTGTCCAAAAAAAAAAAAAAAAAAAAACTAAACTAAACTAAAAAAGGATGCAGCAGCTGCTTTAAGATACAGTGTATGATAAAAAAAACCCCCACAAAGCTGTATTCTGTGGGCAGATCCAGGCGTGGCCATGGCACACCCTCAAAATCTTACTGGCTACCCCAGTGGCCACCGCAGAATCCTTTACCGTCACTGGCTGTTTGGCCTTGTCAGAGGCAGGGCTTGTGTTGAGACCAACTATTTAGGCTGTGTTGCAACAGACTGCTATTTCTGTTCATGTATTTGCATCCATTACACACCTCAGTTGCACTAACAACTCAAAACTCCTGAAAAAGTTTAGTTTTTAGTCAGTTTAGTAAAATGCAAAGTAGTCTTTGCAAGCTTGTTATCTACGTACTTTAGTTGTGTCTTATGTCAAAATATCTCATCCAGCTGACTTTAACTGTTAAATGTTCAAAAATTTGTGAACATTTCATGTGAAAATTGTAAAAACAGGACTTGTTCTTCAGCTGCTCGGCCAACACCAATACCCTCACATCAGTTTCAGGGATGTAAAATTAGCATATAATTAGGGTGACCATATTTTGATTACCAAAAACCAAGACTCGGCCTGGTGATGTGATTCTTTATATTCTTAGCTTTCTTCCTCATCCTAGTGGCCCATTGAAAAACAATGAAAACTAGGACATTTTCATCACCTTGTAAAAAATTAACCAGGACAGCCAGGACAGGACATAAAAACTGGGCACCTGATAATACATGTCAATCTTGTCACTGATGCTATTGTTTGATTTTGGATACCATGGAGAGGCATCAATGTGAATTTCTTCACTTTTTTGCAGTAACATGTAACTTCAGTAATATGTTTTATCCTCAGAGCATGTGACTCCCTGTGTTCATATTGATTTTACTGTAGTATTTAATTTATCTGAAGTATTGATTTCATTAGGATTTACTTCATTTTCATTACATTGCACCACTAATGCCTCTGTGGCAGTCTAAAGTTAATTATAGCGCCATAGTATTAACTACTGTTGTAGTGGATATCTGGTCATAAAAATTGAAGCCATCTGGCATAAATGTAAGGTGTGAAACTGATGCAGTCACACATTGTGGCGTATTTGGCAAACTGTTTCAACAAACATAATTATGGAGTGTTATGGAACTACAGTATAGATACTGGAAAGCAGCCCAAGTATGTTTGAGCTCAGGAAGAGCATCACTTAAGTTTCCCCCCGAGGAAAGTCTGAAAATAGATGGTGCACATACTTCAGATTCGCCATACGGTTAACTGACCGACAACTCTGCTGGGTTATTTCCTTTTTTTTTAAACGTGTTTGTTTGAAGGGTTCCCATGTTTGATCTTTGCAATCTGCCATTTTTTTCCAACTGTCATAATATTTGTAAGGATTCTGTGTGTTTGTTTGTTGCTAGTATCCCTTGTCAGCTTGATTGTTGACAACTCCTTCTGAAAAACACCTTTATTAAAGCCTGGGAGTTATGTACTTCAGACCCACACTTAGTTTCTACTTTACTTTTACCAGATTAGTGTCAGAATACACTACGAGAGGAATAGTAAAAAGGCTCATAAAATCTCCATACTGCTCCCCCCTGTTGTCTCAGCTAATATGTGTTTCCTCTAAACAAATAGCTTTGAGATAACAATGCACCACCCATGTGTCTAACAAAACGTATCTTAAGATCAATACGCCACTGGGCATTTATATAGGTGCAAATACATCTGCTATTTACACAACAACAACACTGTCAGTCTTCTGTGCTGATACAATGCATATCTGTAATTTGGTTAGACACCTTCGTTTAACAATTTCAGAATAAAGTTTCTAAGTGTAAAATGTCAAAGAATGAGTGGATTTCATCATCCACAGAACATAATATCATTAAAAGATTCAGAGGATCTGGGGAAATCTTTGTACTAAAGGGACAAGGACCAAATCCAGGACTGGATGGTCCTGATCTTCAGGCCCTCAGGCCGCACTGTATTAAAAACAGACAGGACTCTATAGGGGAAACTATAATATGGGCTCAAAACCACTTTTATGAAAATATGGCTTGTGAACACATCACTGCATTCACAAATGCAAGTTAAAACTGAACCATGCAAAGTGTTAAAATGTCCTGCCGCCTGCTACATCCAAATTTGACATTCATTTTGGAAATCATGAAGGCTTTGTGATCCACTCTACAGAGTGTTAGCTCACAGTTCAAAGTTTGCATCCCTGATAGTATGGGGATCATTAGTCTCCATGGCAGGGGTAGCTTTCACATCTGTGAAGGCTCCATGAATGCAGAATTATATCTACAAGTTTATTAGAAGCAACATCTGCTGCAATCCAGTCAAAGACTTTTTCAGAGAAGACCTTCATATTTCAGTTAGACAATGACAAACCACATTCTGCAGGGATTACAACAGCATGGCTCTGTAGTAGAAGAGTCCTGCTGCTAAACTGGCATGACGGCAGTCCATGCTCGTCACTCACCTAAAACATTTGGATTTTACTTAACTGAATCCATTGACGTGTTTTGGCTTGTGGCCTTCATCAGGATCATCAGAAATGCATTACAAACAACACTTAAAAAGGGTAGGTTTGAAATTGGAGGAAATTGAACAGTTACAAGATTGCCAATACACCTAAAAAACTACAATTTTCAAATCATCCAATAAATGGAAAAACAATTTCAATCAAACACTTTATAATATGTAAATCCAAAAATTTGATTTATATTATTTAATGTCCCTGCAATAAAATAAATGTTGGAGAACCGTCCCGCTCTGTTCGCAGGCGCATCACTGATTACAGAAGTGCAATAAAAAGAAACAGCAAAACTAGCCCTGTTGCAAGACACTTTATTGAGGCAAAACGGCTAATTTCATCGTTTTTTTTCTTTGGCATAGAAGCCATAAAGCAAACTAAAATAGGTGGCAATATTAATCTTATGAGGAAAAAGAGAAAAGCTTTTTGAATTTTTTATTTAAAAAGCTTATATCCAAAGGGAATGAACAAGGACTTTTCAGTGAATAACTTTTTGTAGCCAATCTTTCAAACTTGTTTTTAATATTGGTAAAAAGTATTTTACATTTTTTTAAAAGGCAGCTTTATCTGAACCTTTATATTTCCCTGTGCTATTCCTTGTGGTAATTTCTGTAACCTTATACTGATCCTCTGGTCTACTAGAACTTTAAAATGGCTGCTAATGCCAACACCAGTGGAAGCTGTCTCTCAGGCCTTTGACCAAGATGATGCAACTGATACCTCCCTTTTGACACTTCCTCTTAACCCACTGTCAGCACCTTATTGGTTCAAAACCACACGGTGACTGAATTGACACACCCCTGTAGCCATTCCATTGGCTGACTCAAATGTAACTGCACATGACTGGTCAAATCTTGTAACTGTTCAGTTTTCTCCAATTCCAAACCTAGCCTTTTTAGTGTTGTTTGTAATGCATTTCTGATGACCCTGATGAAGGCCACAAGCTGAAATGTGTTAGTCTAATAAAGTTGTTTCCTGAACCACAAGTGTTGCTGGAGCTCTTGTGATCTCTTCAAGACCTTTTCTCTCCAAGCACCTTAGAAGTTGGTGAAGTTGTGCCAGAACTTTAGACCTCTTAACTGAATCCAAAAAGGTACACTTTGAAATATTCTCTTAGTAATGACACATAAAGTAAAACATATTTCAAGCCTTTTATTAATTTGAATCTATCAAGTTGATTTTCTCTTTTTTAATTTTATGCATTACTTTTATGCATTTACTCAGAAACAGGACAGAGGATATAAAGTGGAAAGAGGGGTATTGTTCTAAATTCTGGACTTAAGGCTTTAGCCCATAAAACTCAGAAATCTAGTAGCTCAAAGTATTTGGAATTTTCCTGGTATCAACTCCAAAAAAGGTTGCTTTGATAGCACCTTCAATTTGTCGGTGTTTTGGGTTTGGTTGTTTCTTATTTTCCTCTTGACAAATATCTCACAGAGTCTTTACGGGGTTTAGGTAGGGTTAGTTTGCAGACCAGTCAAGTACAGCAATATCATGGTCAGTAAATTATATGGTAGAAGTTTTTTGGCTGTGGGTGGGTGTTAAGTCCTGCTTTCTTCTCTGCAGATAGAAGCATGAAGGTCTCTAAAACCTTCTGGTAAACCTTAGGCTGTGTTCACTCTGGACTTCATAAAACACAATAGACTATCAGTAGCAGATGACATGGCACCCCAAATCATCAAAGACTGCTGAAACCTCACACTGCACTCAAACACCTTGGATTCTTATGTCTCTCCACTCTCATTGCTCATGATGCTATGACTCCAGCCTCAGTCCTTGTGAAGCTCCTCTTAGTTTTTGAATCTGCTTTGGTTGACAGTCCTCTCAAGGCTGTGCTTATCCCTGTTGCTAGGTCTCCTTTTCCTCCCTCACTCTCCCTCCAGTCAACTTTCCATAAGTCTATTTCTGTAAAACGTTCTAAGAACAACAGACTTTCCAGCAATGACTCTCTGTGGCTGACCCTCCTCATGGAGGTGGTCAATGGTTTTTTGGACATCTGTCAGGTTCTGCAGTCTCCTCCTTGATTGTGGTCTAAACCAGATTTAGTGATAAACAATATTTATCATGTTGTAAATTACGTTAAACCGAAATGATAATATTTACATAGTTCAATGTTTGTTTGTTTTTTGCTGTAGGCCATAATTATCCAAATTGAATTAGAAAACTACTGTAAACATTTTGATTTACATGTTGTACATCTAGGATATATTTGAACATTTTTTGAAAACCTGATGGAGAATATTGAACTTTTTGAGATGATTCTGTAATTGTTGAAGAAAGAAAAGCAAAGAATGACTCAGTGGAACTTACTATATTTTCAACAAGAGTCAAACCCCTGAGGCTTACACAAACCAACGTACTATTGTTGACAGACCATACACAGGTGTTAGGTCACCTTGAACTCTCTGAAGAACATTCAGTAAGAGTAAAATGAGTCTTGACAAACACTTTTTCAAAGTTCAAAGTTGCAAAACTTTTATCTGGTTACCTCATGGTTAAAGACAAGTTGATCTATTAACTTGGTCATCTTGTGGTTGACCTTAGCTTAAACTTAGAGTATTACTAATCGTGGATTTTATATTCCTGGAAATTCATCAGTTTCCATCCATATTTTAAAAGCAAACTCAAAAAGTACCTTTTTAGTCTTGCATTAAACTAAATTTTGTATCATTAGCTTAGCTTTGTTTGAGTGTTTTAGCATTTATCTCGGTCTAGTTTTAATGACAAGATTGTCTTTTGTTGAGCTATTCTGGTGCTCTTATTTTAGTATCTTTTTGCTTTGTTTTTATTTCATTTTTATTTATTAATTCTTACATTTAATTTTATGTTACGTTGTCTTTAGATTTTAACCTGACCTCAAGTGTCTACTCATCTTGAATTTTAAGATGGCGTTTCTTCAGTGCGCACATTCCTGTTTTTACTAAATTGTGCCCTTTTCAAGTTGATGCATTTTAATACTCATTTCTGTTGTGCCTTGATTGTGGGGTGGGGTGGGGTGGGGTAGAGTCAGGTACTCTTTGTTTCTTTTGTTCTTCTGCATAAAGCACTTTGTTCTACATTGTTTTGTATGAAAAGTGCTATAAAGATAAAGATATCAGTATTTTCTCAAGAACTGTTATAAAATTTGTTGTACGTCTTTCTTGACTTTTCCAAAATCCTGTAAATGAAACAATCAGGATTGAACTGTGGATGTGTGTCAGTTCATGACAACTGTAAAACAGATTTTTTTCTCTGTTTAGATGCTCGACCCACCTTAAAGTACCACATAAGGTAAGGATGAATTTAGACTTTTTCACCCTCTTTCTCAGTTCTCCATATACTGTACATCTCCTTTCCTCATCCTTCTTTCTGCCATTTTGGACTAAATAATGGACAAAACACTCTTCTTAAAACATATTAAGCAAGCTCCCAGCTCTGCAGCACTGTTGAGTAATAATTGCTCAAACCAAAAAATCCACTGATTTGTCACCTTATCAAGACTACAATGATGGCAGGCTCAACAAGGCAGCCCAGATGTTCCTGTCTTTCATTTCATTCATTTTTCAACCATTTTCAGCTCCCCTCGGAGAATCCTTGGGCAGTTCAACCCTAGCTAAGATGTAAAACCCCTTTGGAGAGCTCTGGGTCTGCCTCAGAGTCTCTACCCACTTGGATATGGCCAGCCTGCATAGAACTAGCACAGGGGTGGACAACCATCTGCCATGGAGAGCAGATGGTATAAGCACAGCATAGGCCCAATGAATGAATACCCTAAAACCATAAGCTCAGTTTGCTATCTCACTGGATAAGGGGACTCAACTATTTTTCATGGGTGCTTTGGACCCATGGACTGCATAAAACATGTCTCATTGAAGTCACCTGGTTCCTGAAAAGGAGTTTTGAGGCCTCCAAGATACTCCAGGATGAAAGTGTAAAATCTGAAGGGATTAATATTTTACATGATTATATTCCAAAAGGACAGATTATTCAAAATAGATTTGTTTAACAAATAGATACAGATTGAGAAATAGTTTGAAAGACTGAAGCAAATATTTGAACCATTATGCAAAAATTCACATTTCACTTAGTACAGGTACAATGGGGGTCCCCTGGCTTTTGGAGAAGACTCCTTGGAGATCAAGAAGTTGCAGTTTTGCTCTTCTGCACAAGCTTTATTTCTTCATACCCAACAAAGTTGGATTTTCAAAACATCATCTTTTTATTAGTTGAAAAAATATAGTGATACTCTATAGCTGGACATAAGGTAATGCAACTGGGAACATGTTTTAATACTTTTTACATATTGTTTGCAGCACTTAGATAAAAAATAATTAAGTTTTAGTATGTTTTTATCTGAAAATATCTCTATGTAGAATTAAGAAATTTTTGAAACTGAATGCAAAAATTCATATCAGTAAATTCAATTAACATAGTCTTAAAGGTTATTTAAATCAAAGAAAGTTTTTGTTTTCAACATTACATTGTAATATAACAATGTATTGCAGTTGTTGATTTTTTAAAATAAAGGAAAAAATCATACTTTTCACTCTGATGTTTTGTCTTTCATCCCTCATTTGTTTTTGAGTAACATTGTGTTCATTACAAATAGATGAATTAGTAACTATTTACTGAGATTTTTTTATGTGGTTAAATTAATTTTCAAATTTAAATCCGCTTACTTTTACTTCTCTTTCAATTATTTTTTTCTTCATGACATGACAATTATTTTATTTGCTGTGTGGCTGTGTGTTTGATTTTAATCTTTTTGATGCATTTTATTTCTTTGACTTCATTATTTACTAATATGAACATATGTTATTTGTAATATTACCTGATTTGAGGATATTCACAGTCAGTGATGTGTTTATTTTTGGAGCATTGTCTGATGATTTGCTTCTGCTTTAGTGTGGAGTTACCTGATGAGGAGGACTTCATACACACAGGGCATGAATTGGTAATCAACACTATCAATTTTTATTATCATCAACTTTTTTGAACATAGTCTTACTTCAACAAAATATTTATTCTGTTTTGAACCTGAGATACTTCACTCACCCAATTTCTCCCTTGAACCTCATCCTGAACTTTCTGTTGATGGATATTTAGGCTGACATGTCGAATGAATATACAGAGGAGGAACTGGAGGAGTGTATAGAAAGGTATGAAAAGTCAAAGAAATGGGAATACTTTATTCTTCACAATTCTAAAACATGTCTATTTATGCCACCAAGCATCACAAATATTAAACAAAACCTCTACAGTTTGATGTAAAATGCAGAGAACAATGGTTGTCATTCAGTCTTTTCCACGGTCGAATAATTTTTTCTTTGGGGATCAATAAAGTTCTTGTATTGTATTGTATTGTAATATCTCTCATGCCTCCCATGTAAATGTGCATTAATGTTAATTTGGAAAGAACTTGATGTTTCCTGATGCACAAACAATCAGTGGAGAGAACATCAATAAGTACATCGACATAACTCATTGAGTAACTAACATACAGTATGCTTTCTGTGTTTTCAGAGGCGCAATGTTAAAAGTGCCAGAGAGGTTAAAATCAGTGTTTAAATAGTTGGATGATGAAGTATGTACTGAATGCATCCTTCATAGGACACAGCCGCTGATTTGGTACACTGCTTTGCAACTTTTTGTCTTCTCTATCCTTTGCTTTAGCTTAGACGAAGAAGAAGAGGAAATCGAGATTGAGATTCATGGGCCAAAGCATAAAGAAGTAATCTTAAAGGTACACAATTTATTCCAACATTTTCATGAACTTTTATTGAAAAGCTATCAAGGATAATTAAAAACATTACTCCAATCCAACAATAAACTTATTGTTCTATGAAATTAAGTATTTGAAATAATTTGAATGATGTTTTGATAAAATTCTCTGAGAAATGATATCATATGTAGCTGCTTATCTGCCCAAATGGTTTCTGTATGTGGTTTCAGCCTAGAATCAGCAGGTACCAGTTGGCATCTTCACCACAGAGTTTCAAGAGGAAGGAGCCTGATGAAGGGTATGAAACAGTTCTGAGGAAAGTGCCTCATGCCTACCCCAAGAGTAACAGAGGGAATATCAAGTTATCACATGAAAAAAATAATCTGTGCTACAAAGCAGCAATGTTGCACCATCATTTAGAGCCGAACTTCATTCATGAACTCTGTATGCTTAGAGCCCAACAACCAGTGATTCTACCATGGACTGCCTAAAGCATGGACATGGTGTCATTGGTTTCTGAAACTGTGTTTGAGAGCCATAATAGTTATGCCCAACCTAAATTGTGGCTGGCCTAACAACATGCAAAGATGCAGAATAATGGTTGACTTCTAGCTTCCTAGCTAACAGCAACAATCAGTACTGCAAAGATGTTTTTTGGTGTTTTTTGAATAGTTGCATATGTGGTGCTTCTCTCAGCTAGCTTCAAGTAAGCATTGGAGCAACTACATTTATGACACGTCATCAAACTTATGATACTTAACAAAATATATAATCATGACAGATCTGTGGCATCTCTCGGATCTTCTCTCGGATCCTCTCTACAGTGATATGAGCCTGATGAAAGAAGTCTTAATCACTTGCTTTGTACTTCATTACATAACTTCTACTTGTCATTCTTTTAAGCCAGTGCTCCTCTTCTCCAAATTTCATGTCAAAATCATAACAAACTGATGGACCAACATAGTCGAATACATGCTACTATGCATGTCTGCTTGGATTAAAAAAAAAAGAGAAAAACTTTTAAAATTTTGTGAAAAAATTTCCCATGACTGAGATGCCTTTTATATCATATTAATGATTCCTTTTTTATTTTAAGATGTAGCTGATAGTAATGGACTCTGGGCACTGGATGCCTTACACAGGGCATCACAAGCAAAGCAGTTACTGCCTCACCCGGGGCACCAAATGAAAGAATCACTTTCCACAGTTAAACTAACACCAACGATTTTGATGAACAAAATAATTTGCATTTGATCAACAAATAGAGGGTTACCATAGTGGGATCAGGGATCCTAAACAAGCAGTAGTTTAACTTTTGTATTTATTATTTGAACTTGTAAGACCAAGGTGACTACAAATCTTTTTCAAAATGTTTCCCAAATCTTTTCACATATAAGTAGGTGATTATGGTAAAATTTATACAGTGCTACTGAAGTGTTGAGGGTTTTTTCCTATCAACCGTATGCTCAGCCATGTATACTGTGAGGGATTGTTTCTCCTTTTTAAGATGAATAAATATTGTGATTGAGTTTATGAAAATGCTCTTGTCTTCTGTTGTAGTTTCAGTACACCTGATGTGGACATCAAACAACTGGACTGTTTATTGGTAATAAACACTTTTCTTGTCTTTATTGCAATCATTTTAAGAATCTACAGCCTTAATCTACAATCTAAACTATAATCTAAACAAAAACAGCTTCTGTTTTAATGTTACATTATGCTTACATATTGAATTTCCCTTTGGGGCTCAGTAAAGTTCTGGTTTCTTGACATGCTCTAAAAAAACAGTATAAGATTAAATGTGATTCTGATTTCTGAGGGTTTTTCTAAGTCAACCATTTAGATTATTTTCCAAACTATGTAAACTTTAATTTCAAGGCAAAGTTGAAATAATTCAGATCTTGTCGTAAAAAAGTTTATTTGAATTATTTCAGTTCAAATCCTTGAAAATTTGGGACCATTTTTAATTAAATGGATTCCTGTATCAGTCCAAAAGATTTGCATTCCAGTGCTACTGGTTGTTGTCTCAGGCTATATCCACAAGTATATATGGATTTTTGTTTTGTCTTTCCAAAAAAGCTCTGTCCATACCAGAAGTGGTATTGAATAGTTCTTTGTCCCAACTACAGCACAGAGTGCTCACATAAACCTGTAGACCAGCAGGTGGTGATAATGTGTGGTCTTTCATGGCAATCTCCACAATGAAACACTGTGAACATGCATGTTGAGTTTCTCAATCCAGATGCAATTGTAAACAGGTTTTTTTTCCTGTGTATGCAGTGTCAAATCAATAACAATTTGTAATTAAAGTCATTTGCCCTTGTGACACACTGTAATTATGTGGAAAGCTGTGTATCCCTCTAAGCATCCAATTAGTATCTAACAGAAAAAACTGCCTTGGCTCAGAGACAACATATATAAAAACATTTGCTATACACAGAAATACAAACTACATAATCAAAACTATATGCACGTGTGAGTAGGGCTTAATTTATTTATTAATGTGGTTTCAGCCTCTGATATTAACATGCCAGCTGTTGAAAAGGTTGGGGACTCAAGCTTTGGGATCTGTGGAAAGGTATGGAACATTTCTTAAAGGTACTGGATAAACTGTTGTTCTGTTGGATCAAGTAATGTGTTTATGTCTCAGCTTAATTGCAGCCCAGTGTCATTCTGTACTATTGAACAATAAAAATACTTCTATAACCCGTATGTTGTAGCTTGCTGCATTTACCAGATGTGGACGTAAAGCAACTTAGTCATCTGAAGGTAATCAGCAGGTTTTCTTTTCCCCAATCACTTCTGGACCCCATTTTAAGCATATCTACCATTTCTGACCAAAAATCATAAATGTTCTACAACAAATTATATCAAACATGATTGTTACAATGTGGGATCAATCAGAGTTGTTTTCTTTCTGGACTCTTTCTGGAGTTTAGGTCAATTGAAATGTTTGAATATAAAAGAACATTTTATCTAAATGATGGCCTGAATTCAATTTAACTGATTTCACTTGAAATAACAATGTTGTAAAGTGTCAGATGTAGCGGTTCATCGGTCTGAATGGTTTTATAATGTGGTTTCAGCTTTTCTCTGAACACGAGTTGTTGGCTTTGCTGACGGGTCCATCGAAGGCGCCTCCTGAAGGGTGTGTATGAACTTTGTAGGAATACAGGTAGACCAACGGTAGAAGTGATTTAAGGGACAACTAGGTTAACATTGGTGAAATGCTTTTAAAAGTAAAACTTTGCTACTGTGTCTTTTGCTTTAGTTTGAGTTTCCCTGGTGTGGACATCAAACAACTGCAGCGTCTAACGGTATTCAACACGTTCCTCTTTCCATCATAGTCATTTGTTGTAGTTTTGCATGCATTCTTGTGCAAATCACTTTGGTTGTGATGCATCATGATATCTTTTAATTGATGTTAATGATTTAAAAGTAACCTGTATTTTTAGTTTCAAGCACCTTCTTTTCTTTTTGAATATCACCAATATTGTAATTTTAGATTTGACTAATCTGTTCTCTGTTCTTATCCAAAACTATTTACTTCATAAACAGACTGTAGAGCTCCATCAGAATATTATTGAGAATTCGATAAAACACAAATGATTGTGGTATTCATTTTGGGGACTTGAGAGTCTGTCCTAATTCATGTGTTTTACTTTTAACAGGAATTTTCAGTGGTCAACAATTTTAATGCCTATCAAATTATATTAATAATAATCTGTTAAAAAAATAAGCATATTTTCATAATCATTCAGCTTTAGTTCTCAAGAGTTTGGTCTTAAGGGGAAAGTTTTTTGATTAAGGGCTAGGTTCTTGTATTTCTGTAAAGATATAAGGGTTTGTATACAAATTAAAAAGACCTGATTTCCAAAATCAGTGAATAATGTCTTCATTTGTTTGTTTGTTGATGTGGCTCCAGCCTCTGATATTCAGGTACCAGCTGTTGCTATGGTTGAGGCATCAAAATTTGGGATCTTTGGGAAGGTATGAAACATTTATTTTCAGAAGTGGAAAAATTGTAACTGGCACTAGATACAAAACTGTACTTTTGTCAAAGTATGTCTTTAATAGATAATGTGAATGTGAGCTCTTTTAATGACAAAAATGCTTTTATATCCTTTGCTATAGTTTGCTGCATTTACCAGACGTGGACATAAAAAGGCTGGAGCGTTTGAAGGTAATCACTTGTCTGTTTGTTTGTTTGTTTTGTTGTCCTGTAAATGCACAACTGCAAATGTTCTTTAATCTGGGAACAATCTAGTTTGAAAACCAAATAATTTTTTTTCTGTTGATCTGCATTTCTTTACAGCAAACTTGTTTTGCCATTAACCAAATTAAATGATTATTGATTCTGAATACCACAGTCTAAAGACACAAACAATTGTTCCCTAATACAATCACACTGATTAAGATTTTATTTAGTTTTAATCAAGTGGTATGGTAGCACTTAAAAACATGGTAACAAGATTGTAATAGTGGGGCAAAAGTGTGATAATAAAAGGGTGAATACATATAGAAGATGTAATTAAACAAGATAGATTTTGTACTAGGACAAAAATGGTCAATAAACAAAAACTTGTAATTAGTAAAAAAATAAAATAAAATCAGGGTAAGAGTCCAACAATCAGTAATTATATTAATGTAATATTCAGATTCAAATATGGTAAATATGATGTTTGTATTGTAATTGCATGGTGCTAATGATTAAATTATACATATTTTTTTCAATATGAGTTTGCATTTTGCAGCGCTCACTTAAGGTTATTACACAGGAACTACAAGTTCCTATGCCATCTCTGTTATGGCTCATGTAGATGGGTTAAATTCACTCAAACTGAATTCACTTGGAAGCACAGTGTTTACGGGTTTCAGATGTAGCTGTTTCTAAGCCTTAATGTTTTTTCTCATTATTTATTTTTATCTGATTTCAGCTTCTTTCTGAGCCTGAGTTGTGGGCTTTGCTAACAGGTCAAGAGAAGAAGCCTGCTGAAGGGTAAGTGACAGTTGGTGGGGAAATGGACAGACTGACACAGGGTTACAACAATGTTAATTTTGGGCAAATGGCTTCTGAGCAATTTGCAAATGTCAAGAAAGACATGTTTTCTGTGGTGGTGGTGGTGGTTAGGGCTTTATGTTAGGAAAGTGTGATAACCTACTTTTGAGTTGATGAACGTGCTCTTGTGTCTCTTGCCTTAGTTTGAGTTTCCTTGGTGCGGACATCAAAGTACTGGATCGTCTAACGGTAATGAACACTTTCTCTATTTTATAACAGTTTAAATAAACACTAGGTGGTATTCAAGACAAAAACAACTTTTGTTTTGATGTCAGAAGTCCCATTTTACCTTTTTATCCTTGTCTACATGTCCTTGTTTTCTCTAAGCTTGTTTTTAATCAGTTGCCAAGCAAATTACACATCTCCTTCTTGCTCTAATCAGCAGCCTGTCACCATGAATTCAATTAACATACCCATAACATTATGTTAGTCACCACTTGGGGAAAACGTGGTCATACATAAAAGGACTAACGATAATTATGTCCTGAGAGTTTGGTTCTGATCAGGCAGTTCTTTACTCTTTCCTGTAATTAATTTGTTCTTGGTTTTTAGATTTAAATATTTTCATTTCCTTTAACCCTGTGCTCATTTCAATCCATTTCTGTTGTGTTCTCATAAATTTATACCCAAAACAACAAGATCTGCCTTTAGTTCTTAATTAAGGCCAAGGGGCAAACACACCGGGGGGAGGATTGTTATACTGCAGATTTTTTCTTATTTGTCTTCAAAAGAAATTTGAATTCGTTACCAGTTCAGCTTGGAGAGCTGTGGGACAAATATCAAAACGTGTGGTTGATTTGATTTGTGACACAAGTCGTGAAAACTGAAAAAAAAATTGCACTTAAGTCAATGGGACAAGCAAAAAAAAAGGACAGTTTTTGGAGTGCTTTTTATTTATTTATTTATTTTTTAAACATCTACTGCTCCAGCTCCTTTTTTTTTTTTTTTTTTGGTTACATTAATATATACTTGAAAAGGGAATGTTCTTTGTTGGTGTACTCCTTGTATATGATATCACAATGGTACTAGTATTAATTATTTGTAATTTCTGAAGTATCTCATCATAATGTACACACCCGGACAGAAGCTCCAGGGCCCTTTCAAAATTTCCCAAATGGAATTTTCTAGTTCTTAATTTGATAAGTGTGTTTGTTTATGTGGTTTCAGCCTCTGATATTGAAGTACCAGCTGTGGCTATGGTTGAGGCATCAAAATTTGGGAGATTTGAGAAGGTATGAAACATTTATTAAGAAAAATAGATGCACTGCAGTTGGCACTAGATAAAATACTAAACCAACCCTGATTACTTGCTGTAGTTTGGTGCAATTGTCTGATGACGACATGAAACAGCTGGAGCGCCTGAAGGTAATTAACTCTTTATTTTCTGTCCACCGAAAGTGGTAAATGTGCTATAGCAAAACCCGTCCTGTCTAATCAGGACAATTTAAGATCAAATCAGAACGTTTTTACCAATAATTAAATTCCATTTTTTTTCATAGCAACCCTTTTCATATTTTATTAATTTCAAGACTAATTACCCAGTTGTTTTTTTCCAAATCAAATTAATCCAGTACAAATGTTTTTCAGTTTTTAATTTTGGTTCTTCTTTGTTTCATCCTTGTTTTTTTTACACAGTGTCACTTTGACACTTGGAGGCCCAATGTCAAACTTAGGTTTCAGATAAAACTGTTTCTCAGTCTGACTGGTTTCTTTATGTGGTTTCAGCTTCTCTCTGAGCACGAGTTATGGGCATTACTGAGGGGCCATGAACAGAAACCTGCTGAAAGGTATGTGACACTATTTGTAGGAAAATGGGTGGACAGTTAGTAATTCTGTGCTTGTTTTTGAGGTGATGACAGCGTTTCTGTGTCTCTTGCTTTAGTTACAGTATATCTGGCGTGGACATTAAAGTGCTGGATCGTCTCACAGTAATGAACTCTTTCCTTCTTCTCATCACAATCAAAGTTAGCAGTGACTGATAGTCCATTTAAAACCAGTTCCTGTTTTATGTTAAGCATGGCATTTAATGGGATAATAACATGCCATAGTTTTCTCGTAAGCAAGTTTTCCATCACACTACACAAACTCAGCCTTTCTGAGTGATCTGCAGCCACCTGTTTCTATTATCACTCATTTTCTGATCTGAATGGGTGGGGATGTTAAGTTAATGTGATATACCCAAATCCAAAAGATCTTCATCCTAATTCAAATGATAATGAAATTCAATAAGTGGAATTTGGAGTTAATCCTGATTAATGCTATTTGATTTAATAGGAATCGTTAACGAACTCACAATTCTGATTGTTTCAAAATGATGCCATTTGTTATCAGAAGGAAATGTGATGTGCTTGTTGATGTGGTTTCAGCCCTTGATATTCAAGTACCAGGTGTTGCTGCTGTTGCAGCATCAGGATTTAGGATCTTTGGAAAGGTATGAAATTTTACTCTGAATTCTGGTTCACCCAAAATGAAAAAAGAGTTTCTGTCTAAGTCTATTTGAACAGTGTGATTATGTCCCAGAAGACTGATGCTTTTATGTGCTTCTGTTTCTTTTGATATAGTTTGATGCATTTACCAGATATTGACATAAAAAAGCTGGAGCATCTGAAGGTAATTATCAGTGTTTTTAACTGTACGTCACAGTAATTTCTGTATTGAGGAGATGGATGTGCTTCTGCTTCTACCCTCATAACTTTGATTGGTTTATCCCAGAAAATTTTCCAAATGGATTTGTCTCATGAGCTTATGTTCATGAACCCATTTGTATTAGTTAGGTTGAAAAAAATATTTTGTTGGCATTTGGTTATTTGAACTCACTTCAGCTTATTTCATTTGGGAGCAGAGTGTTTTCCATTATCAGCATTTCTTTTGTATGAGTGGGCTTTTTTTGTGGTTTTAGCCTCCTGTCCCTGAGCACGAGTTGTGGGCTTTGCTAAAGGGTCCAGAGAAGAAGCCTGCTAAAGGGTATGAGATCATTTTTGTGGTAAAATAGACATCCTGTACGACGGATGGAGTACTCTGCAGTGATCTCTAATATCCTGTGTCTGTTGCAGTGGTTTGAGTGTACCTGACTTGAATATCAAACAACTGGAGTGTTTAACGGTAATCAATACTTTTCTTCATTTCTTTATTTTAGCAAACACTCAGTGACAGTTGGAAAAAATAGCTTCTGCTTTCAAAATATGTAACTTTTGTTTTTCAAGCATGTTTCTTTTTTATTCAGTTGCCACAAATTAAATTAAATGCTAAAATATTTTTTTTGATTAAATGGGACCTTTAATTGATTCATAGTGTTTGTTGTTATATTTGAATGAAGTTCAGTCTAATCGAAACTGATCCGAAATGATTTGCATCTTTATAGCTATAGCTAATAGTATGGTACAGTAATAGTTTTTCACCTTTTCTGTATATATATCTTTTTAGATTGGTATTCACACTAGTAGATTAATGTCTCCACATGTCTGTTCATGTGGTTTCAGCCTCTGATATTGAAGTACCAGCTGTGGCTGTGGTTGAGGCATCAAAAATTGGGAGCTTTGAAAAGGTATGACACATTTTTAGGAAAGAATTTATAAACTAGATAAAAATATAAAAATTTTTGTTTATTTGCAATGGATAGTGTGATAATCTGCTATTAGACTGACAAAAATTTGCTTATGTTCACTGTTTAGTTTGTTGCATATACCAGATGTGGATATTAAACAGCTGGAGCTCCTGAAGGTAATAATCAACTAATTTCTATTACTTTTTCATCAATAACATACACATACCCTTGTTAGATTTAACATTATTTCAGCTTTGACCAACTATGACAATATTGTTATTGACAATCTTGCGTTTCTTGCCAATAATACACAATCTATTTGAAAAAAATTGGGTTAAAATCCAAGACATTTTTCCTCCATATAAGTGTTTCATTTTTGGCCATGATAAAAAAAATCAATCATCTCAAAAAATAGTTTTGTTTTATTTTATTTTACTTATTTTGAATGAAAACAAAAGTGCTACAAATCCCAGTTATCTCAAATTGTATCCAAAGGATTGCCAATGGGAAATGAAGCTAACAACGATCCATTTAAAGCTTGATTGTCAAAACTGTCTTAAAAAAGTAAAAAATGAGGTTCATTGTTCTGGTTATCGCTCTCTGGAGGATCTCAGGTCATTGGCTTTTTCCAAAGTTTGATTCCTGTATCATTTTTGATGTGGTTTGTCAGCTACAGTGGTTTATTTTTCTTTCAGATGGTTTTATTGCTCCACTCAAGGCTTTTTTCTTCCTGGTTTATAAGTTGTGTTAAATGTTTTGTTCTGTTTATGCAGCTGGTCATCAGTCTGAATGGTTTGTTTATGTCGTTTCAGCCTCTCTCTGAGCACGAGTTGTGGGCTCTGTTGAAGGGTCAAGAGAAGAAGCCTGCTAAAGGGTATGTGACAGTTTGAGGGAAAATGTGTGATACAGGCCTACTGCAAAGTTTTGATTGAGAAAATTGTCCCAAAGCATGTGCAGATGAAAAGAAAACATTTGTGTTAAGTGAGGGAAGGTAAACTTGCCTGTATTTGTGCTGAAAATAATTCTGTGTTTCTTGGTTTGGTTTCAGTACAAGTTCTGATGTGGACATCAAAGTTCTGGATCGTCTAATGGTAATCACCCCTCCTCTTCTTATTATCACTTATTATTTTTCATAAAGTCTGGGTGAGAATAAAGACAGAAGCAGCTGCAGTTATGATTTCGAAGTTGCTTTAATGTGGTATTTATAGGTGTTTACATTGTCTGAGTTCTGCGTCAGTCAAGGTTTTTAACTCAGTTGCAAAAAAACACCCCACTCATCTACTGTGAATGATCTGCAGCCTCTCAGTTTACAACCACATCGCCAATGCACTGTGGTGCTCACTTTGAGAGCTCAAACCAACAGTTAAACCATACTCTCCTGGAATCTCCTGCCTTGATTCAAGGACATTATCTATTATCAAAGTATCTTTATTGTTAAATCTAACAAACTAGCATTTACATAGAAAGTGAGAGATCTGGTTGTCCCTGGAGTTGCTCTTATCATTCAGAAATAAATACCTATATCAAGGGGTCGTCAAGGAAATTTGACCAAGCAGAATAAAGTTTTTAGCAGAGCTGAGTGTTCAGTAAAAAAGCTGAAAAAAAAGGGAATTGTTCCACACACAGTAATTTTGATCCCTACCGATTATATCAACACAGTTCAGAAAAAACAAACAAACAAACAAACAAACAAACAAACATCATATTGATGTAATTATTCAGTTAAAAAGTCTCGTGAGTTTGGTTTGAACTACAAACTTTCTATTTTGAATTGTAATTGAACTAATAAAATCGCTTTCTAATGTCAGAAATGTCTCAATATATTTGTCATTGTTGTTCTAGACTCTGATATTTAAGAACCAGCTTCTGCTGTGGTTGAAGCACCAAAATTTGGGAGCTCTTGAAAGGTATGAAACATTTTTTAAGGAAAGTAGATAAATGTTGTTTTTTTTTTGGTGTATGTTTTTGTCATTGTTTATTTCCATTGCATCATGTGATTGTGTGCAACTGGAATGATTAAAATACCTCTTTGTCCTTTGCTGTAGTTTGCTGCATTTACCAGATGTAGACGTAAAACAGCTGGATCGTCTGATGGTGATTAACTTTTCTTTGTCAATCACAATCATTATGTTCTGACAGGTTTATCCACCCTATGTTCCAGGTCTTGATTGTTCAATCCTGTAGTCTGACCTCAGCATTGTAACCAGATTAATTTATCTAATAAAGTAAAAACAAAACATATAAAATGTAGTTTTGAACCTTCACAAATGTTTCAAATAGTTCTCAAACAAATGGTTTGAATTCATTTTAGTTGATTTCACTTTAAAACACAATGTTTCAGGTATCAGATGTTGCTGTTCTTCAGTCTGAATGGATTGTTTTTGTGGTTTCAGCCTCCTGTCTCTGAGTATGAAATGTTGGCTTCGCTGAAGTGTCCAGAGAAGAGGCCTGCTGAAGGGTATGAGACAATATTTGAGTGTAAATGTAAGGCTGAAGTGATAATTGTTAACTAAACAGAAGAGCATGAAAATGACCTGCAAGGAGTTAATGGATGAAAATAAGGGACTGTTTTTTCTAGGATTTAAAAGAAAAGGAAAGTATGATTGCATTTGAGCTAATGAAAGTCCTTCTGTGTCTTTAGTTTGAGCTTACCTGATGTGGACATCAAACAACTAGAACATCTAACGGTAATTCGCACTTTTCTTTTATCACAACTAATCTGACTGAAAGCAGTACTGAATTGGTGTAGTATGACATACTGTACATCCCAAGTTATTTGAGATACGTTCTTAGAATTAAAAATTCTCTAGGAAGTGTGGTTGACATGGATATCTAGTGCTGAGTCTCATTTTTTTGGCTCCAACTGAAATGGGTTTTGTTTTTTCAACACAAGGATGAAAAATTTTTGCTCATCTGAATCATGTCCCAAATTTAAATGACTTTACTTCATACTCATATAATTTTTTGATTAATCAGTTTCTATTGAATTTCTATGGGTTTATTTCTGGATATATAAGACATGTATGCTAATATCAGTGATTTAAATCTTATTTTTTTGTTCATATGGTTTTAGCCTCATATATTCAAGTACCAGCTGCTGCTATGGTTGAAGAATCAAAATTTGGGACATTTGGCAAGGTATGAAACATTCATTAAGCCAAAAGGATGCACTGCTTATGTTTGTTTGTTTTAATGGATAGTGTGATCGTGTGCTAATGAGCTGATGAAAACACTCCAATGTCTTGCTGTAGTTTGCTGCATTTACCAGATGTGGACATAAATCAGCTAGAGCGTCTGAAGGTAATCAATATTTTCCATTTTATCTGTCCATCCATCACCGAGTTCCTGTAAAAAATAGAGGGTAGCCACTGTCTTGTTGGGTAAAAGGGGATTTAAGTTTATAAAAGTAGTTGAGTAGTAGAAAAAGCTGGTGTTGGTTAAAGAAATAACAAGGTAGGAACAGGCAAAGGAATAACCTTGGTTCATCAGTCTGACTAAACTGCCAATGTGTTTTCAGCTTGTCTCTGAGCCCGAGCTGTGGACTTTGCTGACTGGTCAAGAGAGGAAGCCTGGTGAAGGGTATGTGACACAATTTGTGGGGAAATACACAAACAGTAAGACAAGTTTACCACAAGGTTAAGATTTTGCAAAATGGAGTTTGCAGATAAAACGGAAATGAAGTTTTATTTGGGGTTTTGAGTAAGGATAAATGTGATGATGTGATGGCGTTTGAGCTGATAACAGTGCTTCTGTGTCCCTCCTGCAGTTTGACTTTACAATTTGTGGACATTAAACGGCTGGAGCGTCTGACGGTAATCAGCACTTTCCATTCTTTCATCAAACACTGGGTGACAAGCCAGTAATAGGAAGTTGCTGTGCTTTATGTTTGTGTCAGTTTTAGTTGTTGTTATATTGAGAGAGAGAAAAACTTTAACTCAAACCGTAATGATGTTAGACTTAATAGGAATGTCATCACCAATCCAAATTATTTGACTGCTTATCCAAAACTCTTTTCTATGACTGAAGTGAATTCATGTTAAATTCTTGAGATTTTGGTTTTTGTGTGCCATGTTTCCTTTCTAAAAACTGCTGCTCTGGTTCTGATTCATCTGGTCTCTGTTTATATTCTTAACTAGGTCTTTCAGTCAGAACAACTTCTGTTCAATCAACAGGACTTGTTTATACTGTGAAATTATATTTTCGTAATTTGGGAGTACATTTTAAATACTGTGATTCTGATATCAGTCAAAAACATTTAATACCAACCATTTGAACACCTACCAAATAATGTCAAGTGAAATCTGAAGGAAATTTGGTCCTATTGAATGTATTGTTCAGCTTGTAGTTTCTTTTTTGTATTTAGACTGATGTAGTGTTGCTTTTATTTCGGCAATATAGGCTCCACTGAATACATTTTCTGTTAAATCTTGCATGGATTTGATTAAAAAAATGTTGTAAAACTTAAACAATGTAAATCTAAATGCTCTTTTTTGTGTGGTTTTAGCCTCAAATATTCAAGTATCAGCTGCCACAGTGGTTGAGTCACCAACAACTGGGATCTCTGGGAAGGTATGACAAAAAGTGGATGAGATGTGCCAAGACAGTCAACAAAAAGTTATTTTAAATTTGCAATAGATTATGTAATTATTTGCTATTAGACTAATGAAACTACTTCCATGTCCTTTGCCATAGTTTGCATCTACCAAATGTGGACATAACAAAACTAGAGAAACTGGGGCATCTGAAGGTATTTGACTTTTTTCTGTCTGTCTGTCTTTTTTTTTTTTAACCAATGAAAATTATTTTTCTAATGAATGGTGTACCTGGTTTATTTTATTTTTTTTAGTGACCAAATTGAATTAATACTGTTTCAAATTATTTATATTTGAACTCAAAAAAGTTTCTTAATCCAATAATATTAATAGAGCAAAATTATTTCTAGGGTAAGCATGTGCTGCTTACCCTGTCCAAATTTATCTTCCATTCATCTGACCCAGAAAAGTTTGTGGTTTCATCTGGTGTCCAGTCGATGATCCGAAGTATTATTATTTTTTACAATTATAACAATAACTACTTTGGCTTGTTTTCACATGATAAATCTGAATAGGTTAACTTTAAATAATATTTTCCATTTTTATTAAATACATGGAATTTAAATTGGATGGTTTACATTCACTTGAGCTTATTACCCATGGTGTTTTCAGACGTCAGATGTCTGAACGGTTTGTCTTTTTGTTCTCAGACTCCTGTCTCTGAGTCTGAGGTGTGGGCTTTGCTGACAGGTCCGGAGAAGAAGCCAGCTGAAGGGTAAGAAATCATTTTTGAGGGTAAATGGACTAACTGTAGGGCAGAAGTGGTAGATGTTACCATGAGATGAAGATTGAGCAAATGCCTCCCAAAGGGTTTACAGATTAAAACTATATGTGGTTTGGGTTCCACGGTAACGGTAGGTGTGAAATTCAATTTAATGAAATAATTATTTTTTGCTTTAGTTTCAGTGTACCAGAGTACACAATAACCCTAATCCTAACATCCATGTTTTTCAGTTTGCTGCATTTACCAGATGAGGACACAACACAACTGGGGCACCTGAAGGTTATTAACTGTTTTGTCTATCACAATCATTTTCATGATCAGAAACTATGTTTTGGATAGTTTAAATTCTCCTACAGGCACGTGGCTTCAGGTGCCAGATAAACCAGTTTATCAGTCTGAATGGTTTGTTTATGTGGTTTCAGTCTCCTGTCCGGCCTCTTGGCCATAAATTGGGGGCCTCACCAACTGTTAAAGAGAAGAAGCCTGCTGAAGGGTATGAGAACTTTGTTGAGGGAAAAAGGACAGACTTTGGAGATAATATTTGTGGGGGGATTAACAAGTTGTTGGGATGAAGTGGTACAGGCTTAACACTTAGTTGAATCGGGGGAATCAGAGATTTTAGATGAACAGGAAACTGTGTTATTTGGGTTTTAGAGTAAAATGAGTGTGATTATATGCTTTTGAGCTGGTGAAAGTGTTCTGTTGTCTTCTGGCTTCTTTAGATGGAGAATACCTGAGTTAGACAATCAACAGGTGGAGCATTTAACGGTAATTAGACTTCTTCCTCTTTTCATTACAGTCATTCAGAAAACCCTGGACAAAAGCAGCCTGTTTTTGATGTCAGGGGGTCCCACACTGTGGCATCATTAACTGGTCATATTAAGACACAATTGACTCACAATTAAGTTTTTTTTTTTGAATTCACTCTCAAAACCATCACACATTCAGACTGTGTGGATGATCCAAGTGACCAGGGGTGATGTTGCAATTGGAAGCTGTGCTGAATATTTTAGTTCATCAGTTTTAGTAAAGATTCTTTGGTCTTGAACTGCAATAAGATCTGCATTCAGATTATCAATGTTCAGTGTCTGAATGTGTTTGTTGATGTGTTTTCAGCCGTTGATATTCAAGTACCAGATGCTGCTGTGGTTGAAGCATCAAAATTTGGAACATTTGGGGAGGTATGAGACAATTGTTGAGCAAAGAAGCAGTTGGCAGTAAAATTAAATTTATTTATTATTTATTATTCATTAATATCTGTGCTGTCCTGTGCTGTAGTTTGCTGCATTTACCTGATGGGGACATAACACAACTGGAGCGTTTAAAGGTATTCAGAGTGTTTTTAATGTCCATTACAATTACTGCTGAAGATTTTTGTCTTCTCTTTTGGAATAATTCTTAAAAGCCAGATCTTTCTAAAAGTTAAACAAATATAATAATCACTGATCAAAAAATTGGTTCATTGTCTTGTTTTTGATGCTTTGTTTCTTATCTGTGAGTTTGTTACAAGTGTTCTGTTTTGATCACCTGATTATATTATTTCTCAAAATTATGGGCTGAATTTAACCCAGTAATTTCACTCGCAGCATATTGTTTTCAGGCTTCAGAGGTGGATGTTCATCAGTCTGAATCGTTTTTTATATGTGGTTTCAGGTTCTTCCTGAGCCTGAACTTTGGGCCTTGCTGAAGGGTCAGGGAAAGAAGAAGCCTGTTGAAGGGTATGTGACTATATTTGTGGGGAAAATGATGGGCAGAAGTGATCCAGAGTTACTATGATTCTTAAAACGGCTTGGGTTTTAGAGAGTTTGATCACTTGCTTTTGAACTGATGAAAGTGCTCCTGTGTCTTCTACTGTAGTTTGAGTTTACCTGAAGTGGACATCAAACAGCTGGAGCGTCTAAGGGTAAGCATTACTTATTTTCTTTTCATGACTTTCATGCTAGTACACTGGCCCCACATAAAGGTCCCACATAAGGGTATTGTTAAGCTGTTTACACCATGTTCTAGTTGTCTGTTAGTCAAGGTTTAAGTCTTGTATGAAGAACTTCAGCATCTTAAGATATTCTGAAGCCTCTCTGTTAACACTATGATCCAAAAATAAATGGGTGCTAAGGTAATAAATAGCTGTGCTGAGGAAGACAGAGCCGATGGATACAGAGGCAAAAAAAAAACAAAACACAAACTACAAAATTAGTATGACGAGTGCTCCAGAAAAACCTGCCCCAGTATCAACCCCATTGTGTCTTTATGCTGTTTTTTCTTTGGTCCTGCAGTGGTGACACAGAATACAAACATTTTTGAGTTAGTTTTTGCAACCAACAAGAGAGTAGTATGCCTGATGTCATCCTGTGTTGTGTAACTTGACGAGTAAGCAATGCTAACCAAAACCAGCAGTTCTGCCTTGAAATCATAAATCAGAGGAAAAACAGAACACTCTTGCAGATTGATGAAATATGAAGTGTAGGATCTGCTTGTCTCTAGGGTTGCTCTTGCTATCAGGGGTTGGGGTGAGGGTCCAATGTTTTTGAGAGAGCACCACCTTTCTTTATTTATACCAATTTGTGTCGACTTAATTAAAGACATTTGTGGTCAAGTTGACTTAATTCTTCAGGTTAAAGTAAAAGATTTTTAGTCAAGACCGAAGTCTTTCAATTGCCTACATTTATTTTATTTTCAAACGATTTCATTTTGTGTCCTGAAAATTTTTAATCCATTAAAAAACATTTATGATTCTTTTTTTGTCTTTAAACCAATAAGATCTGCATTCAGGGTCAGTGATCAGTGTCTCAATGTGTTTGTTGATGTGTTTTCAGCCTTTGATATTCAAGAACCAGCTGCTGCTTTGGTTGAAGCACCAAAATTTGGGGGTTTTGGGAAGGTATGAGACGTTTTTTGAAGAAAGTGGATGATTTATAGTTGGCAGTAGATGGAAATGTGTGTTTTTGACCATTTGTCTTCTCAATCGATAGTGTTATTGTCTGATATTGTAATGATTAAAATGCATCTATGTCTTTTGTGGTAGTTTGCTGCATTTACCAGATGTGGACATAAAACAGCTGGAGCATCTGATGGTAATCTCTTAGATTTTTTATTGAGCTCCATCAAGAACTCTGTCCTTCACTGAATGAATTTAATCCAAAGGCTTGTGTTCAACGTTTCTTACCTGAATGGATTTGGTTAGACAAAATGTTCCATTTTAAACACATGGATAAAGTTTGCTTATAAATAAACGGTGCAAATTTATACTGGCTGATTTATCTAAAAGAACAGTGTCCAAGGTATCAGATGGAGCTGTTGGTCAGCTTGAATGTTTGTTTATGTTATTTCAGCCTCCTGTCCCTGAGCATGAGTTGTGGGCTTTGCTGAAAGGTCAAGAGAAGAAGCCTGCTGAAGGGTATGTCATAATAAAAAAAAAAGTTATAAGGCAGTAGGGGTACAAGGCTTTACCAAAGGTTAAGATGCTGCAAATGCTCCAAACGAGTTTTCGTTGAGAAGAAAAAAAACATTTTGCTTTGGTTTTAGAGAGAGGGCATGTGTGCTTTTTAACTGATGATAGTGCTCCTGTGTCTCTTGCTGTAGTTTGAGTTTACCTGATGTGGACATCAAGCAACCGAATCATCTAGTGGTAATCAACCTCTTTCTTTTTACTCTACAATTCAAACACCTGGTAACAATCCAGACAAAACAGCTCCTTTAAAGTTGAAGATCTCATTCTGTGTTATTGATTGTTTTTTAAAACGTGTATTGCCTTCAAGATCTGTATTTCAATCTTAAAAATGTGCCATTGTGTTTGTTCATGTGGTGTCAGCCTCTGATCTTCAAGTACCAGCAGCTGCTATGGTTAAGGAATCAAAATTTGGAACATTTGAGAAGGTATTAGACATTTGTTAAGGAGGTGGATGAAAGAAGTGTCTATTTCCATGAGATAGAGTGACTTTGTCCCTTAATTCAATGCTTTATGTCCTGCCCCGTAGTTTGCTGCATTTACCAGATGTGGACATCAAACAGCTGGAGCGCCTGAAGGTAATGAACTGTTTTTTAGCTGTCTATCACAATCACTTCTGTTGTCAGAAAAATGATTAACTCTGGTTTGGCCTCACACTATTTCCGTATCAGAAATCAGTTGCATTGGGAAAAAAATGACCAGTTATGAAATTTGTTTTTCATATCATACCTTGTAAGAAAATTGTGCACAACCTTCTCTGAATGGAAGAAAAGTACATCCTCATATTCAATGAATCTCATCCCCAAATAAGTAAATCCTTTATCAGGGTTCTGTTAAATATCAATTTAAAGTAAATAAGTGAATGAATAAGCAGTGACAAAGATTATGGCATTGTTGAAAAAAATGAATGAATGGATACATACTTGAAGTAATGAAAATAAGTTAATTAACTTGAGCTTACCAAGTATATAATAGTGAGCTTTTTTGAGCTGCTAAATTGGAATTAAAATACAGAAAGGGATAAAGTAAGTCCAGACCAATACTAACAAAAAAATTGTATTTATTTGTTTGTACTGAGCTAACAGACCTAAAACCATTATCACTCTGGGAATCAGTCACTGCATGCTTCAGAAGCAGAAATGAATTACAAGTTGAACCATGAAAATCCATGAAAATTCTGAAAGTATCCAATTAATTGAAGCTGATTGGAATTAGTTTGCTGTACATATCATTTTAATCCTATTACAAATTGTAAATGTTCCACTGAAAATGTTTCCTTTTCTAATCAGAAAAACTTGAGACATTTTTCCTGTATTGAAATTGCATATACAGCCAGATTTTTTTCTAATTAGCCTAATTAGATATTACTGATTTTGAAGACTTCCAATTGAAGTGGTTTTACCTCCCTTTCAAATGTTTTTATTGTTCTGGCTCTGTCCTTTGCCAAAAGAAGTTGGTTTACAAGTTGGGTTGAATGCTTTGTTACTCATTTGAATGAGTTCAGTTTCATTTACTGGTTGATTGTATTGTGTATCTAATAGATGGTTTGATGCAATGGTATCGTTTGCAACTGTTCATTAGTCATGATAGTTTTCCTGTGTCCTTTCAGGTTGTGTCCAAGCAGGAGTTGTGGGCATTGCTGACAGGTCAAAAGAAGAAGCCTGCTGAAGGGTATATGACAATAATTGTGTGGCAATGGAAAAACTGTGTGGCAGAAGTAATACAAGCCTACCACTAAGTTTAGCTTCTGGAAATGGAGTCGGCAGATAATGAGAAATTATTATAGGTTTTGGTTTTAGACCAAAACTTATTGTAATGACTTTTATTTGAGCTGATAATTTTGCTTCTGTGTCTCGCTACAGTTTGACTTTGCCTGATGTGAACATCAAACAACTGGAGGATCTAACGGTGATCAAAACTTTCCCTTTTTATAGCAATTGACATCTCGGGGAAGATGAGGTCATATTATAAAAATAATAGATTTTTTTGGTCTCTTTTTTTAATCAAAGGCTGAAACACTGTTGCACTTCACAGTTTATTTGCAAATAAAAATTCAGTGACTGATTTCATTTTCATTTCAAACTAGATGAATAATGTCTAATTGTATTTCTGTGGTTTTAGCCTCTGACATTCAAATACCAGATGTTGCTATGGATGAGTCATCCAAATCTAGGATCTTTGGACAGGTATGAAACTCTTGAAAGGTAACATTTGAGAGGCAATATAAATGGCACGAAAGGAGAAAATGAAATAATTATTTTTTATTTGTAGTTTGTTGTTCCTTCCCATACCGGATGTGGACTTGAAAAAACTGGAAAAGCTCAAGGTAATCATTACCTCCCTTTTTTGAAGAATGATAACTATCATTGTTAAAAACAAACAAAAAACACACAAACAAATAAACAAACAAACAAACACACAAACAAACAAACAAACACACAAACAGAAATAAAAAGTAAATAAACAACTTTAATCCTGTGAAATCAGCATTAACAACAATCACTGATGTTTTAGTGCTGACGAACTCAATCATTTTAATTTAAACATACATTAATAACAAAATAACACAAAGAAATAGGTGATTTGGTGGTTCAGTTGTTGCCATGTGTATATATGGGTTTTATATTTTCAGCCTCCTATCACAGTTAAAGGGATGTTGTTCAATTCGTTGTCCAAACTATGTGACTTAGTGTATCCTTGGGTTTTTTGTGGCAATTGTTCTTAAGCCCCTGGTTCCTGCTGGTAGTGGCCAGTTGGTTTTCCAAACTATGTGACCTAGTGTATCCTTGGGTTTTTGGTGTTTGATGAAGATATTTATGAGTCTACTTGGTTTGTTTATGGGTTTTCAGCCTCCTGTCACAGATGATGAATTATTGGCTTTGCTGAAGAGTCCCAAGGAGAAGAAGAAGCCTGAAGAAGGGTATGGAACCATTTTCTTACTCAAATAGGCAAACTGTAAAGTGGAGGTGAAACAGGGATACCTCAAGGTTAAGAATGTAACTATTTTTCCAGAGGTTTGTGCTCTCTTTTACGAGAGTGTGTTGAGCTGCAGTTTTCATGGCACTGACAGTGCTCTGTTATATTTTCCTCAAGTGTGAAGATTCCTAGTGTGAAGAGTCCCAAGGAGAAGAAGAAGCCTGAAGAAGGGTATGGAACCATTTTCTTACTCAAATAGGCAAACTGTAAAGTGGAGGTGAAACAGGGACACCTCAAGGTTAAGAATGTAACTGTTTTTCCAGAGGTTTGTGCTCTCTTTTACGAGAGTGTGTTGAGCTGCAGTTTTCATGGCACTGACAGTGCTCTGTTATATTTTCCTCAAGTGTGAAGATTCCTAGTGTGAAGAGTCCCAAGGAGAAGAAGAAGCCTGAAGAAGGGTATGGAACCATTTTCTTACTCAAATAGGCAAACTGTAAAGAGGGGAACAGGTGAAACAGGGACACCTCAAGGTTAAGAATGTAACTGTTTTTCCAGAGGTTTGTGCTCTCTTTTACGAGAGTGTGTTGAGCTGCAGTTTTCATGGCACTGACAGTGCTCTGTTATATTTTCCTCAAGTGTGAAGATTCCTAGTGTGAAGATTCCTAGTTTGAGTAGTCCCAAGGAGAAGAAGAAGCCTGAAGAAGGGTATGGAACCATTTTCTTACTCAAATAGGCAAACTGTAAAGTGGAGGTGAAACAGGGATACCTCAAGGTTAAGAATGTAACTGTTTTTCCAGAGGTTTGTGCTCTCTTTTATGAGGGTGTGTTGAGCTGCAGTTTTCATGGCACTGACGGTGCTCTGTTACATTTTCCTTTAGTGTGAATATTCCTGACGTGGACATCAAACCAGTGCAGCATCTAGTGGTAAGTGGCTATTTACCTTTACCCCAAAACCATTTACTTTGCCACTAGGCAACAATCTAAGGATTGCCATATTTTGTAAAGATCTGCAGTGACTGAGAGTACATGGTTTCCAAAAAGAATGATGACTTTGATTTGATAGAAAACAAAATAGCTTGCTTCACAACTCATCCTGACTTCTATTAAAACACTGTATTTCATGATGTGGTTTCAGCCTTCACTACCCCAGCACTACTTGTGGACATGGATGGCGCACCATCATTTGGCATCCTTGGGAAGGTATGAAAGCACTTCTCCAAGATTATGTGAAAAAGTTGTTTTGTGTTGTTTGAACAAAGTGGATGGATCACAACCAAAAATCTGATGGAATGATGTGGTATATGGAAAGGTATGCTGTGAAGCAAGGAGTGATTGTCTGCTTTTGAGTTGATGAAAATGCTTTTGTGTCTTTTGCTGTAGTTTGTTGCATTTACCCGTCCCCCAGGTGGACTTGAAACAACTGGAGAAACTCAAGGTAATCATGTACTGCTTGTCACCTTGTATTTGGTTTTCAATTATTTTCTGAGTCAGTGTGCAGAAACAAATGATAAAACATGCTGTGGTTTGTTTGTGAACCTAGCATAGTAAAACCAGTTGTGGCAATTGTTCTTAAGCCCCTGGTTCCTGCTGGTAGTGGCCAGTTGGTTTTCCAAACTATGTGACCTAGTGTATCCTTGGGTTTTTGGTGTTTGATGAAGTTATTTATGAGTCTACTTGGTTTGTTTATGGGTTTTCAGCCTCCTGTCACAGATGATGAATTATTGGCTTTGCTGAAGAGTCCCAAGGAGAAGAAGAAGCCTGAAGAAGGGTATGGAACCATTTTCTTACTCAAATAGGCAAACTGTAAAGTGGAGGTGAAACAGGAATACCTCAAGGTTAAGAATGTAACTGTTTTTCCAGAGGTTTGTGCTCTCTTTTACGAGAGTGTGTTGAGCTGCAGTTTTCATGGCACTGACAGTGCTCTGTTATATTTTCCTCAAGTGTGAAGATTCCTAGTGTGAAGATTCCTAGTTTGAGTAGTCCCAAGGAGAAGAAGAAGCCTGAAGAAGGGTATGGAACCATTTTCTTACTCAAATAGGCAAACTGTAAAGTGAAGGTGAAACAGGGACACCTCAAGGTTAAGAATGTAACTGTTTTTCCAGAGGTTTGTGCTCTCTTTTATGAGAGTGTGTTGAGCTGCAGTTTTCATGGCACTGACGGTGCTCTGTTACATTTTCCTTTAGTGTGAACATTCCTGACGTGGACATCAAACCAGTGCAGCATCTGGTGGTAAGTGGCTATTTACCTTTACCACAGAACCATTTACTTTGCCACTAGGGGCTCTATTTTCGTGCGCGCCGGTGAGGTGGCGGAGGGCGGTGAGCCCCGCGCAGTTGTATTTTCGTCTGGCGGAGCCCAGCGTAAGGCCAATTTGGTATTTTCGTGGCATGAGCCACATGGAGGCGAGCTGAGATCCGCCAAGCTGGGCGTGGTGGTGTGGCAGGGGGAGGTGTCGACAGAATCAGCAGGCGCAGTGACATTTTCATGCTTGCCACCGGCGTGTAAAGTG